TTGCTGACTGTGAGTCCGAAAGTATCACCGCTTTGGTGATACTTTCACCGCTCAGAGAAATCGATGATTGAATATCAAGGTAAAAATATGAAATGAATCACAAATATGTACTAATAATGTCATTTCTTTTCAGATCCTTTTAGAATTCACAAAAATTTCTAAATGTTATTTAATGGCTCTTAATTCCAATATTCTGTACATAATGTTCATTCACAAGTCTAGAACAAATTTAAAGAATATTTTAAATTAAATCATGGTATATTTCGTTGCAGATGACGGGAATTTACAGCAGATATTTGAAAGCCTCTAATTTTCTTCTGACTTATCAAATTTAGAATAATTGATTTGATTAATGAATAAGTAAATATTAATAATTAGTAATTTGTCAGTTTGACTATCTGAAATCACTTGCGAAATTACCAACCATAATGAATTTTGTTACAAAAAATGCATTTAGAGTATGTCAAACGCAAGGGCTTTCGAAATCCTCATAGCGTTTAGGGTCTTGTGATAGACCATTCTTTCTTTAAACAAATCTTTTCGGCTCCGTCTTATTAAAACGAACTGTTTGATTTAAGTTTTATTTTTTTACATTTTGGAAGCTTATTCACTGCATGGAGATATTTTATTATTGACAATTATGCTGATAGACAAAGAAGGTACAAGCATTCCGTCAGAAAGAAATACTTGTTAGAGGAACAAACTAGATAAAATTATATTTTCGACGAAGAAATATATGAAATAACAATTCTGTATATTTAAATTGAAATATTCAAATTTCCTTTGATTAAAATAGGAGAGGAAGAGAATAACAGTTTCAAATAATTTGTCGTCGATTTAATCATTATTTCCCTTAAACCTGCTTTGAGACCGCGATCGGAAGTACGATAAGTGCTGCTGAGTTGCTTGATTTATGTAGTTCCAGTGAATTAGAAAATCTTTTACTTTTTTACTTTCGAATTTTTTGATTAGCAAGCAAAATGAATTTCTCAGAAAGCTTGAAGAGCGCTAATCTTTAATGTAATTTATTCGCTTCAATGGATTCAACTTGGCTTCCTTTGATAACCTAATTTTATGCAAAAATCATTCACATCTACTTTGTTAAGTTCATACGCCGTTTTTTTCAGGAATGAAATTCAATAAGACAAAATCTATGTAAATTTTAGGCAATCAATAATTTGTCTGCGTAAAAATCTCGTCATTTCATTCATCAAAATGAAAAGAAGATAAGGAGAGTTCAATGCGATTTGATTCGGATGGTTTTTTTGTTATTTCAGTCGGTCATTTCTCTACCTGAGTATATGGGCTTTTATATTCGATTGTTGGTGCGGATTGTTACTGAATTCAAAATCAAAGCTCACCATCATCATCCATCGCGAATGTACGATTTTCGTGAATGAATTCCATAAAACCATTTGGTTGGCGGTACATCCATCGAACAGTTGCAGATGGTGAACTCTCGGGCACTGTGCAATTCAATCGTAGAAAAGGCTGGTCTCTTAGTGTAATTGTTCGTGTTTCGCATGGTTTCGATTCATCGATTTCTAAAATGGAAGTTGGGACATTATAACCGCCGCGCATCTCACTCTTAAGTGAATACAATTTGCTTCAGTTATATTCTGCTAAAAGTCTTTTAGTTTAGTTTCCTTTTAGAAAAAAGATTGTTTTTTATTTTTTACTTATATATCGTGTATTTAAACATAAATTGCAAAAGTTATCGGATTTATAGGTATCCATTTAATATTATGCTAAATCTTCAAAAATCGTGAACTCTACTGTATATATATCTTAAAGCGTAAACTTTGCCATTCCTTTTAAGTATTAAGCTTTTCTAATATTCAAAAAAATAAGTGGCTAGATAATCTTTTTTACATTATTTAAGATTGAGTAATACAGTTGAGTTAGCACTTAGGAATTCCACGTTTTTATTCCATACATCCTTCGAATTTTCTTAGGATTTTATGTTCTCCGTTTTATAATTTTTTATTTTTTCGAAACTATGAAATTCGTAAGTAATTAATATACACTAATTCCAATTTTAAAAATAGATATATTAGCCTTCAGTGAAATAGTGCAACTGAAGTTAATTTAAGAGCAAAATAAAATGTGCTTTATTATAGCAAGAATAAAATTAATTTCTCATAAAAAAATATACTTAATTTATGATGCAATGCTTTTGTGAACAAAAATTGAATGTCCTCGACAAATTTCGTTTCCCATTTAACTCTATACAGAAACTTATAATACGAAAAGTTTGTGATCCGTACAATTAAATTATATTTACAATTTTATTACTTCATTTAAATTGCAGCATGCTTGTAGTTTTAAATTTAAAGAAAGTATTTGGTGAAAACTTCATTATTACTGAAAAATTTTTCAGTGGAGATTTCAACTGCTCGTATAATCCTTGAATTAAGATCATATCATAACATTTTTTTACCGAATTGGAAAAGAGCTTTTGAAAATAATAATTCGGTTTCGTTCATTTAGTCCTTAAATAATTTCTGAAATTGATGCTCGACTGGAGATTTAAAATAATTCCTGCCAAGTAAATCGCCTGAATTACCTTGTGGGATAATAAGAGAATATATTGTCTATTAATACAGTTGATAATAATAAAAAATATAAAATTTTCAAATTTCAATATTAATTGTTTTCAGTTGTTAATCGCTTGATCCCCGATTTAATTATCAAGTAGGTTTTAACATACGCGCCAATTTACTCCACACTGGAGAAGAAATTGCACGACCAATTGGGTTGATGGCCACGCAGTAGAGCCAGCCTGCCGAAAATCGACCGGGAACGAAGAGTTCACTTAGATCCCACAGACCATCATGCTTACGATCGACTATAGCGTTTCGTCCCTCGGAACTCCACTTGGAGGTGCTTGTTATACCTGATCGACTTACAGCTAGACGTTCGCCGTTGAGATACCATTCTAACCTGAAAAATTTATTCGTGAATGGATTCTTCAATTTTTTTCATATTAATACTAAGCATATCATTACTGCAATCAAGAAAAGGTGAGGACTAATGTTGGTATATTTACAAAAAAATTGTGGTGGTCAATTTTTTGACAAGGAGTGGTTTAAAAAGCTCTAAATTCAATAAACTTACCAATTATATAAATCTTTTTGCTATACTTGAAAAAATGTGCATTTTCAATAAATAGAGATTTTACTATGAAACATCTGTCTTAAATTTCTGGTTTCCAATCTAAAGCGAAATTCAGAAACTTCAAACAAATCAAGTCATGTTTAAATTCACATTTAATAGCTCAAATATCATTCTATACATTAAGAATTTATTAATTTCAGGCTAGTATGTGAATCATTGCCACATATTTTCCTATTAATACTTTGAAATATTGAATAATTTTCATACTTTTCCTTAGTTATTAACGCGTACCATAATTTGCATTTAAAAAAATTCAACGTGGAACTGGTTAATATTTAAAAACCCATTTAATAGGTTCAATAAATAAAATAAACTTTTGGTTATTGTCAGTAATAATACGATCTCAAATGCAAAAAAATTGTAAATTCTTTATTTTAAAGGAAAACAGCAAAAGGAAGTAAAATCTTGGCAAAACACAGTTCATTGATCCAAAATCAGGTTGCAAAAAAGACCAGACGTATAAATTAAATTAAATATTATTAAAATCAATTATTGCGTACATACAGTGGTAATTTGTGGACTCAGCGATTTCAGGAAGTTATTGAGATTAAAACACTCGATAAATTGCGCTTTATGAGTATGCACAAAATTTATGTGAAAGGAAATGAGTAGAAATGGAATAGCAAAAGTCATAATTCCACCTAATTAAACCAATATTGCTTGCACATTATTATAATTATATCTAAAATTTAAAAAAATATTAACCATGTCTCAAGATTCACGCTCTATTTGAAAGATTGACTAGCTTCGAAAAGTCTATATAAGTGAGATCTGTTTTAATTTATCAAAAGATTAGGCCAAAAATGTCATTTAGAGTCTAGTAGAATGCTACTTATTTTCAATTCAAGGTTTGCTATTTCTCTGGTAAATGCTATAGCATCAATTGTGAAAAAATGCTTTATACATTTTAAGAATGAAACCCCAATAAACTATGCTTAAAAGTCTTCGATGAATTGCATATTAAAGCCTACTATTATAAAGGTAAAATTGAGGCATAGAACATATTAAGTTACCTCCTTAGGGAAAATAAAAAGAAGGGTCAATTATTGTAATTAACACCAAACTAATGGTAAATTAGCATAGGAAGAAGTGGATATAAGGTTAAGGAATTAATTCTTTATTAAATTAGTTTCCAACGACGCAAATCAGATAATTGAATGAATTAATTCAGGCGCTCTTACTATTCTACCAAATAAATTTACTTCTTTTTAATAGGATCTTTTATGAAAATAGAGAAGAATTTCTGCACTTTTTGAAATTAAAATAAGTTTATGATAGGTTATCATAATAAAATTAGCAAATTACTTCAACACTTTTGTGAAATATATAAATAGTATGCATGGTTCAATCATTGCCACTTTTTAAAAGTGAAATATTAATTTTATTATTAGCATTAGTTCAATTCTTTAGCGTTAATTCGCACCACTCTACTTAAGAATTACCTAGAACAATTATGTCAACTTTTCATTTCACGAATAATACCGGGTTTATAGGTTTATATAGGTTTATGGTGGGTAATCTTTCTATTCAATAAGCCTACTCTTTCCCAGAAACGCTTAGAGACATGATAATATTATTCATTTTTAGATAAAATTTACTATGTACTGCTCCACAAATGCTGCATAACTAACCCGGAAATCATTTCCTTTACTATTCATGTCCAAATATAATACGCTTTAAAGCAAAATTGTAAAAATTCAATTTTTCTACCATCGGGTTTGTAGTGAACAGGATCATTAAAAATGATAGAGGCATGTGCTGCGTTATTTTTCAACTTTATTAAAATTATATGGGATAACTTATTAGAAGAAAAACAACCATCGAAACGAAAATATTCTGGTTTCAATTGTGGAATTAGGTTGTTGGCGTACCACCGACAAATTCCGAAAAACTGACAATCACAATTTCAGGTACCTTGCAATACAGAAATAGTTGCAGGGTTCATTGCAAGGAAGCAGCTGAAATTGGGAAGATGAAGTGCGTGGAAATGTTAGGAGATAGAGTTTGAAAGAAGAATATCAGGATTGACTTCAATTATTTGGCATGATGAAAGATTATTGTTGCTGTTTAGCTCAAACGATGAGCAGTAAAGAATAAATTTTTAATAGGTCATGTTAAACCAATCAAACGAAAAACCGTTATTGTCAATTATTAAAATGAAATAAATTCTATGCTATCTTGAGGAAAATATTTTATACTAATTGTGAATCATGTGATCGCTGGCATAGTAGAATTTCGGGTTCACTTGAGGTCCTATTGTTTGTTCCATGCTTTTTCGAAAGACTATTCGGGTGTGTAACAAAGGTTTTGTTCAACTTCTTCCCATCAGCATTTTCATGGAAAATTTCTCCGAAAATCTATTAGATAGAGCCATCTACAGCCAACTTCCAACTACCTTAGCGTGAATCTGTTTGTTAATTAGCACCTGCACTTTTTCCGACGTTTGAATCAGAGTGTATGCTTTGAATGGCTTTAATAGAATGTAGTATTCGTCCTATTTATCGAAGAGGTAATTAACTTTTCTAATTTCCCAGTGGCTATCATTTTTAACACTGGTCCTGATTCAATGGTTAAAATAGGTAATAGTTCAGTACTTTCTATTCATTTCAGTCTCTCTTTCTCTCTGCACGATTTGTGACATTTGTCACGATTTTTCCGCAGATTTTTATTTCGCTTCAAATCATTTCTGAACTGACAGTAGACTCTTTCATAGGTCTAAGTTTCTGGACAGGCTCTTTTTCGAAATTCTGGTTTAGTTTGCAAAATTTGTTTCCTTATCTCTCCCGTCACACAAGTGGCAAAAATGTGACCAAATCGGTCAAAGAGCAGATTTTCAGGTAAATTGTTCTACAAGAAATTCGATTGACTCTATTGATCTCATTAGAATTCTATAGATCCAAGACACTGTCATATTTCACGTCGAAATCTTTACTTACATTGGCAATATCAATTAACTTGGATTTAAATCACACCTCAAATTTTCATCGTTTTTGAAAATAGACATCCGTTTGGCAAGGTACTTGAAAACATTTAAAAATTCAACATTTAAAATCGCAATCCGAAACGGTAGACAAATTACCTAGTTCAAATATATAGCTTATGCTACTTGGTCATGCGACACGGTGTCTTTAGCATGTACTTTGGTGAAAGAACAACAATTAAAGTTTGGAAACATTTTCATCGAAAAATACCGTTGCAACCATGACAACTTCAAGAAATAGCCCTCCATAAATTAGAGTCCCGAAATTGTACTTTATCATTAATCCTGTGGATGAACGATCTATTATGCTCGTGATACGGTCATATAATTTTACTGGTCGTTTCTGTCAATTCTATTTTCGAAATCCAGTATCAACGGCGTGCTCTCAATTGATCCTTCTTTTCGATAATTAATTTTATCATTGATTGGCACTTTTTCACTGGTGAATATACTCCATATCAAATTTAATTTGTCAATAATTTATCAGTTAGATCAATACTAATGTGCCGGCTTTCAAGATGTCAATCTCAACATTAAATAGTAGTGAATAATAATAATATCTAAAAAAACAGTAATAATGATTTCCTCACAAGGCACAAGGATTATAATATAATTATTTATGGCACAAAGTACAATTTATTTTGTAATTTTAAAACAATTCAAGCCTAAAGTATATTTTAAACTGTACTTCACTGTTGAAATTGATGATCATTTGGACTAATCATTTTGAGCAGTGACTACGCTTTAAATGTGAAAACAAGCACAAATCACAACATAACGCAGTTCCTTTGATTAAATAATTCTTTAATAATTAGATAATCTTCATTTTTGTAAAACATTAAACAAACTATCATTTCGGTGCAATACATATATATTGAAAATGATGGATATTATGTGTGGCTCAATGAATAGATGAGTTATAAAATGATGTGATTATGGTTCATCACTATTGGCAAAAGTTGCCATCTCACTCACCTCGGTTGTGGGTGACCAGATGCTGCACACGGGACTTTGAAAGGTTGACCTGGAGTATGTATAATTTCACGAGGTGGAAGAGCCGTAAAGGACGGAGGAATCTGATAGACATCTTGAGACACTGCAGAAAGCAAAATACAAAGTTAATTGTTGGAACCAAATATAAGCATTACTTTTAATTCAAAACATGTCATAACCAAAAAAACTTATGGATTTGACAAAGAAGAGTTTCAACCAAATTTCGCTTTTATTTAATAAGGCGAAAATAAATAAGTTGGTTTGAGTCATGAAGACAATAAGGTGCAGATGATCTTACAGATCTTGTTATTTTCGAAATGGTTGAATGCATATTAATGAAAGTCTGATTTGCATTTCAATTTCAAAATAACCTGCTACCTTATGACTAATTTCTTTCCGATATCCACTAATTTTGAATTTAATCGATTCCAAATCTTGAAATTTTACATGAATTAATATCTTCATTGCTTAAAAAATCCAACTGGACACTTATTCTTATAGCATTTCCGCGTAACATAAACTAAAAATCACACAGAGACGTAATTTGATATGAAGAATCGATATCTTAATGAAAGGATTTAATTGAAGTTTTTTTTGTTATTTACCATATTATTTGATAATACTCTAAAATGTAAGAAAAGTGTAATGAAATTATACATCAATTAGTAAACACAGTTTAATTGATTGATTTCCATTTTAAGTCTGTCAAAAAATATATGCATCGTCAAGCTATTAACCTTTTCTTAATATGAATATTTATTTATTTATTTGTTTATTTATATATTTATATGCTATTGAAGTGATATATTCCATGCTCTACTAATTAAAGTATCCTCGTAGTCTAATTATATGAAATAGTAAAGTAAGTAAAAGCATATATTTAAATTATACTTATTTTGATTTTTAAAATGCATGCTTCACGGATGCTATATATTAATATGTCTTTTTTGCAAACACGACTTCTTAATCGTTTTAAAAAGAAACAACAATGAGATTGCTGACATAAAATTTGCATCCATTTAGTGATAAATCAATACTAAATAAAGTTTGTGCGCAAACTATAAACTTAATCTGTGGTATCACTGATTGGACGTCATAAAAGAAATCTCAGAAGCTCAGAAATTATGCTTCAAGATTATCAGAGTGTTATACTGTGATTGAAAATAAATTGCCGCAAAATTATACAAAACCGTTTTACACAAATATTTGCGACTGAGGAAGAAATAATGATAGGACGAAGCAAGTCTCGCTCAATTATAGTGAAGGTGATAGGTTGACCTGATGACGCACGGTCCTCCAGATTTCCAGACTATTATTTCAACTATTCCCACTAACACAAAAGAAAAATAGCTTTCAATTAAAGCGTGCCTGGGTGATTCTCTAAGATCTGAGGATTTATATTTTTTCTGCAGTCATGGACAAAAAAACATATATATGCTTTTATCATACTAATAAGTTTAGACACAGTCTTTGCAGAATACTTTCCAAATTTAAGCTTCCGTAAATATTCTCCATTTCATTTGTACGATAAATTGAAAATTCATGCAAAGAGGACTTAAGTAGAAATTGAATTTGGAGAAATTTCAAGTTATAATCACGCATTCGTGCTCAAATTTTGTAATTAAAAGCAGGTATTCGATGTCCCCTTTAAAATTTTCCACAAGTAACGCAAACATTAATTGAGTCAGAAGGAGAAATTGAAGATAGCTACAAGTATTATCAATGCAGGTTCTCGTTTGAAAGAACTAAATTCAAAATAAATCCGTATGGAGCATTGTTCAAATCCTTGGTTTCGACAATGGAAGAATGTTTAAACTTATCATTAATTTATATCTGTCTGATATAAACTGTTGTACCTTAAAAGCACAATAATGAATCGTCTAATCAATTGCTATTTCAACTAGCAGGATGGTCGGTATATTTTTAAAAGATATTATCAAATGAATTACAAGAATAACTTACATGATAAGTTAAAAAGTCCACAGAGTACAAAGATAAGTTGAGAATCAAGAGAAATTTGTCCGAACATATTTCGATATTTGATCCGATTTCTCATGTTTCTAAAAGTAAATTGATAAAATATTTTCCGTTATAATAGTATAGGAAAAGGGCTAAATTTTTCAAAGAAGGTTTGGTAAAAAACTGCATTTTTTCTAATAAATAAGTAAAAATAACTTTATTGTAAATCTCTATAAATTATCGTTTTTATCAATATGGAAAGAGAAAATTTGCTTAAAACCAATTGTTTAAATCATTTCATCCTAGTTATTCATGATAAATCAAAATTAATTAAGCAAAAACTGATTGAGAAAAAAACGATTATCCAGATCTAGGGTAAATTTTTCTACTGATTTTGTTTTATTATTTTGTTTTTTCGATTTTAGATAGCTGATTTATTCGGATTATCGAAATATATTCATCAAAATATAAAATGCATTTGTCTCCTTTGGATGTAAACCAAAGAGTGAAAACCCAAATGAATAATGGGAGCAAAAACAGATAAAAAACGATTGGAAGAAATATTTACATTTTCATTAAACAGTTAACGTCTTACCTGCTTCTTACCTGATTCATGGATAAAGTAAACCCAAAATAGCTTCAGTACTTTTTACTTCTGAAATATATATACTTGTGTCAATTTATGTTTATTATGAACGGGAATCGAGCGATTGCTTAGACTTGATAACGCGAGATACTGCTGCGGTTTCCGAGAGATCACATCCAATCCCATGCGTCTTAGGCACTACTGATTGGCAATTGGCCAGAGGAGAAGGAAGGCGCTAGCTTCAAATGAGTGTGTCTTTCACATTAATCCTACTTCTACGTTCGCCCATGTGGAAATATTTTGTATCTCAAGGTCATATAGATAGATTATAGCCTCTATTTTATTTAACTTTTCGGTGTAGACGTGCATTCAAGTTTGTGTTGGTACTACGGTTTATTGGAAAATTTAATCTTTTCACTATGAGTTGGAATAATAATACTCATATTATCGTATCAAAGCAAATTGTAAGATTCCTGATATCAATTCGTATTGCATCTTATCATCTGGTGGTGTCCCAGTTAACAGGTAAAAGTGGTTTACCAAAAATTGCATTAGTCAACGGACAAATGAGCTGTAGACACCGCAAGCAACAATTATCTTTGAGAGAGGAGGAAAAACCTAGAAATGATCAGTGAACTTGAAAACCCTCCTGTTTAATTCCATCTTTGAATTAGAATATCGAATTTCAAATAAAAAATGTTTTACTCACTTATGTTTTATCAAACTGGCCTTCTCAAATGTTCTTATTGTAAATTAATTGATTTTTATGAGACTAATAAACATTATTTAAAATTGTTTTTTATTGGCATTTGACGAAAAATATCATTTAAGCTTTAATTAAATCATCCCTTGCTTTAATGTTATAACTCGAAAAATGAAATCGAGTAAATAATCTTAAAATTATGATTTTGTAAAATTAACGTCATTCAAAAATTGAAAGCTGGTTTAGCTGAGAAAGTTGACGTGAATCCTAAGATTGACACGGGATTACTTTCGTTGGCATTGTTAGCAAATTACGATGTTCGACTTGGGTGCAAAATATCTTATGCAGAAAGTTTAAAAAGTTTGTGATTGAATGTAATCTTATTAGTTGTTTTGAAACAGCACTTTATTAAATTAGTTAAATATTATTTAATTGCAAAGAAAATTCATTAATGCTGCCTTAGTCACTTCGGGCGGCACCTATCAAATGATTATATGTTGTGAAATTTTCTTAAATACTATGTTGTGTAAAGTATTTGCATTATTAGTATTACACTAATTTGGCAATAATATTCTATTAGTATTTTTAAAACCGTACAAAGAGACAAATAACTTATTCAAGCATATTTAAAACCATTAGCCAAGTATTATTTTTTAAATTCTTGAAAGTTTAGCAATACCTTGTCGCAAAAGAATTTTTAAAATATAAACTTGTGGAATTAACACGATAATAATTCTAATCACACTTGCAAACCTATTAAATAAACACCTTATCACCTGAATCAATTTCATTATCTATGTTAAATAAAATTGGTATTAAAAGCCGAATTCGTGAAAATCAGCCAAATATTTGTAAAAGCAAAAGTACTTATTAGATGAAATTATTAGATCACGAAAAAGTTTATTATTTGAAACCATATTATTAGCACAAAACAGAGTAAAATTGGCCAAATTTAAGAGCTTATGTGCTAGCTATACCAACAAAATATTTGATCATGTCACATTTAAAAGTGTACCAGAGTAAAATGGCCAAAAGATACGCGACAAGGTTCTAGTTAAAGTATAAACCATAAAGTAAAATTGCTATTTAAGTGAAAACAGCAATAACTAGATAATATCATTTTAATTGACTGATTTCTAATATCCTCCAAGTAAAATCGGAGTTAAAACTCTAGAATTGAACCTAATCCGTCAAAACCTAAATTTTTGAACATCTTTTTTATTCGATTTTTTATTTAAGAAATTAAACCGGCTTAAAAATATAGTTAATTTTGCAGGAGAAGTTGTATTAAGAAAACATTTTTTAACTTATGTAAATTTGATTGGAGTTTTAGAGAGCCTTAAAAATTAAAAGCTTATTTGAATTCGACATCTGCAAATAAATTCTCGGTTTATTAAATTTTAGCAAAAACGTTAAATTCATTTAATCAGAGATAGTTGTAATGCTCTTTGCTGGAATGAGATGAATATATATGGGAGTTGGAAAAGAGCAGATCTGTACTAAAATATCTAAGCGCATATGAAGACGGATTACATTTGGACGAAGATTTGCACTTTACTTCCAACCATGTTTAGAATATAAACTTTTTGTTCCCTGTATGTGATTAATAAGACGATTTCAATTGAAGTGATCATCACAGCGAACCGCATTCAACTTGCGATAATTGACCCTTTAAGCACAGGTATTAAACATTTTGTAGAAACAACAAAATATGACCTTTGTATAGCAATTAATTTAACAACAAATCCATGTAATTTGATTTGCAACTAAAAGTAGCATATTACTGTCGTCCTTTTATGCAAAGTCAAATTTAAAAGATATAGGTCAATAAAAAGCCCCAATAATTCCCTGGTTGGGATACTAGTTTATCTAAGGCCAAAAGCCTACTTTGTGATAAATATGATTGCACATTATTTCTCAAACATAGGTAGAAAATTGAACTGTAGTGTTAAGAACGATCGTTATAGATAAAAACTAGTAATAATTACAATAACTAGTAGGCGCAAACTGTGATTCGAGAAAAATCATTGGGTTTAAAGTTCGAAATGCGATCTGCCATTCAACGAATGTTTTAAGAATAAAGTTAAGTTAAAAACTTCATTTCAATGCCAATAAACTCGCATTAAATGCACGAAATCTAATGGGCATTAGCTTTGATTAAGTCTTTTTCCAAATGGTACCTAATATTATGCTGCTATTATGATAGCCAGACAATAAAAAAAGTTAATCACACAGAATATGCAAAAATTTGAAACCAAATGTTCTTTTCCCGCCACTTATTTAAAAATAAATTCTTAAGATTCCATTCCATCTAGCATAGGAAATGGTTTGGAGTGCGTTAGTCACACTTTAAACTAAATTTATCGCATGCTGTTCACTTGACTCTACAATTTAATTGATTTCCTAACTAAATAAATTTGTTTATTTGTCATTGTTTTTACTCTCTTTCGTACAAGCAACCTTCTAACTTCCAATGTGTTCATACTTTGGGGTTTTAAATAACGTCACTTTAAAATGATGAGAAAAGTTTTTCCATTTAAGCAAAAAATGGTATGTCAATATAAATATTGAGGTGGATATAGAGATTCATTACACAAAATCAATCTTGGAACCAAACGATAATTGCATTTGTGTTCATGAAGTTTTATTTACGTCAAATTTTTGTTTCTAATAGCATGTGAGGTTTTGAAAAAATTTAATACCGTTGATTGCTAATCTTATGAGTAACTTCATTTAGACTTAAATTAATACCCAATTATTTAGCTCTGTAGATACTATTGTCCTTTTTTCATTTCTGAACTTCATGTTGATACATCCTAGAAAAGTTTAAAGTAGGCCAGTCGAATCAAAAGTTAACCAAGTGCATAATACTTATGGCATTTCAATGCAACCCGAACGAATTTTTCGCCTTTGCAATAAAATTGGATAATCTAGGTCTATTTTCATGCTTAAGACTTAAGCCCCAGATAACAAACCAGGATAGGCAGTAATTTGTCATATGTTTGGTTACAACGATTCGGTCCAATGCCACACCTCAGGGAAAAATCAAAAATTGTTCCAATGTATCTTTGGCCTCCGAATTTCCTCACCCTCCCGCACCCACACTCTCCTCCCAGATCTTAACCTGATGGACCATTATGTTTACAGTGGACGCTGTTGAGGACAATAGTTGCTGTGTCAGTACTATCAAACCTGGTTTCTGAGACACTTTCCAAGGGAAGTGTGAAATCAGTTTACTCTAGTTACCGGAGGAAGAATGAGCTCTTAATAGACTCCAAAGTTTTATTTAAAACTCTGTCAAGAATGCATATTCTTTTAGATTTATCAAACTTACTCTTAGTAACAACATTTACTTTTTACCTGTTGAGCCAGTCAAATTTATTCTAAATCTAATAATGACTGCTTTCTAAACACTAACCTTAGCAGAAAATGTCTCGCTACAGAAGGGGAGAAATAGTTTTGAGATGGTAAAGGTAATATGGTTCATGGATTCGGAATAAAATCTTTTTCCTTTTCAGTTCGAAAAAAAATGATCTTTTGAATGATCTGCACTGAAACCGATGTCAACATTATGTCATTCTGAGGTATGTAGAATAAATTGGAGAGGAATAAAAGCTCACCTGTAGATTCATACCGAAGGTTCTCTCCTTTAAGTGTCATTAAATTTACTTTTTTACTAAATGAACAGAAGTTCATTCAACTTTTTTCTTATAAATTTTAAATGAAAATATTTAAAAAACTGACCATTTTGTTTTCGTTAAAATCAATGTGCATATAAAAT